CGGACAACAGAAAAGTGGGTGAAGGGAGATGTCAGACGGTATAAGAGATGACAAAATAATAATAATTTATAAATTATCAAGGGTTCATGAGGGATGGGGGTAAAGAGGGAGAGGGGGAAATTAGGAGCTAATTTAAACCAAGGGCTCAAGTAGAAAGCAAATGTTTTCAGAATGATGATGGCAATAAATGTGCAAATGTGCTTGACATGATGGATGGATAGATTGCGATAAGAGTTGTACGAGCCCCCAATAAAATGATTTTTAAAAAGTGGGAGGGGGGAATAAATTCTGTATGGAAAGCCATAGGCTATATGAAGTTAGACTGAGTAAGATAAAGCAAGTGAAGAAAGATAAGCAATGGGTTCAGAGATAAATGCTATAGTATCTAGTCTGCTTCTGAGACTCCCTGGGTACGTAATCGTGGGAAATCATTTCACTTCTTTGGATCAGCTATAAAGTTCAACTGGAGACTGTTTGGATTAGCCTTAATGCTCTGTGGCTGAGGAGCCTCTATTCTGCTGAGCTTTATAAATAAGAGGAGGCTTCACAGGCTCATGGACAAGCTCCATTATCCTTTAATTCAGAGGTCTCAACTGTGGGTCGGGACCCCCTTTGGGCGTCGAACAACTCTATCACAGGGGTTGCCCAATTCATGCCAGTTATGAAGTAGCAATAAAAATAATTTTATGGTTGGGGGGTCACCACAACAAAAGGAACTGTATTGAAGGGTTGCAGCATTAGGAAGGCTGAGAACCACTGCTCTAATTCCTTTAATTCCTTTCTCCACAAACTTTTGGAAACCCCCTCAAACTTTTCCTTGAAATCAAATTTGATATTTCCCATATAACTGAGTATGCTAGACATGTGAAAATCCAGACGATCCGAAATCAGAAACATTTTGCTTTAAATCCAGAATCCAACACAAAGTTATTGTTCACTCAGGATGAGCGAGAGAGGCTAGACAGAAAAGGGAAGAGTGGGGAGGCATTTGATTATCTGAAATCACTCCTTTGCTGCTCAGATACCAGTAGGATGCACTCTCAAAGCAGTGTTTGGGAAATGTTAGACTGGATCCAAGCTCCAACTGGAAGGTAGTCAATGGTTCCCAGATTTCTCATGTTCATTCACTTGGGTTGTTTCTTTCTTTCTTTCCTTTTTAAATGGTAAAAGAGAAGTGTTTCTCAGAAACAGCTATTTTTCTTGGCTGTTGCTGGGAAATAAATTCAGACACCATGGCATTTAACATCTATCATGGGATGGAGTTAAGCCAAAGATCCACACCCTGATTCCCATTAGATGGAAAACTTTGACCCCAAATAATTTAATTAAGTCTATCCTAGTTCCTGCATTAATAGCGAACCACCATTAAAAGCTAACATAAATTTCTTTTAGGATTCTGGCAGGCCCTGCCAGAGGGAGCAAGAAAAAAAATTCTGTCACAGTGATTGGGACCCCCTGGCCCCAATGGAAGAGCAAGCTCCCAGCTAAGTGAGCTATTTGCTTAACATACTGGCCTGCCACCCAACTACGATTTAGTGTTCACTGATATGCTTACTTTAATAGACCAAGGAAGCCAATAGGTCCAAGGTGCTTTCTGTGGAAGTAATCAAACGAAACTGAAGTTGAAGTTCATCATTGCCCATGGGCCTGAACCCCAAACTCTCTGTCCTTGCTCTATCCCAGCACCTGCTCAGCTAAGAGTATAGAGCAGTGGTTCTCAACCTTCCTAATGCGGTGACCCTCTAATACAGTTCCTCAGGTTGTGGTGAACCCCCAACCATAAAATTATTTGTGTTGCTACTTCATGACTGTAATTTTGTTATTGTTATGGATCAGGTGACCCCTGTGAAAGAGTCGTTCGACCCCCAAAGGGGTTGAGACTCACTGGTTGAGAACCGCTGGTATAGAGCTTCACCCTAAACCTCTACTCATGGCTGTAGGACTCAGATTGGGATGGCCCAGTGTACAAAGATCCAAAGGAGAAAACAAGTAGAGCTTTGCTTTCTCCAGGAAAAGATACGAAGTTTCAGAAAGAGATGCTTAGAGAAGACAGTAGGACATCCTAAGGTTAAGAAACCCTGATTAGGAGTGAAAAGAAGTGGTCACAGGGGAACCCTCAAACAATAGCCTCCGTGATAGATGAAGGCAATAGGTGAAAAGAATGATGCTTTCCAAAATACTCCTAATCAGGTGTAAGGAAAAGGACACGCACCATCAGCTGCTTATTTCTACCACACTAACCTGATTAAGAAACACCAGAAAATCCCAGCTTAAGGCATGCTAAAGCATAACTGACTTATAATCTTCAAAACCCCCAAGGCCATGATAATAGAGATTGGGGACCTATCCAGACTAAAGGACACAACAGAGACATGACAACAAAACCCCAAGGAAGATTGTGAATGGAACCATTTGCTACAAAGTGCATTATTGGAGCAACAGGCAAAAGTTGCAGGAGGTGAGTAGCCTAGGTGAGAGCCAGGTTTCAATATGAATCTTCTGGTACGGTGGCTGCAGGGTGGCTTAGGTGGAGGTTGTGTTTGTAGGAAACACATACTAAGCAACTCAGGGATGATAGAACATTAGGTCAGAGACATGTTCAAGGAAGTGCCAAACCTTTTTGCAGAATTTTTCAACTGTTTGGCAAGTTTTTTGGTTGATTCAGATCTTATTTACAGGAAGGAAAGGAAAGTGGGTGAAAGGAAAATAAAACTACTTAAGTTCAAGCAAAGTAAAACTAGTAAAGTAGCAAAGTAAAACTAGTAAACTAGCAAAGTAACACTAGTAAAGAAAACTAGTAAACTAGCAAAGTAAAACTAGTAAAGAAAACTAGTAAACTAGCAAAGTAAAACTAGTAAACTAGTAAAGTAAAACTAGTAAAGTTCCAAGCAATATAGCTACCTTAAAATTCAAATGTGCAACTACTAGCTAAGGTAATCATCCTCTTCATTGCTCCCAAAGAAAACACTGTGAGATATTTTCAGGAATATCAAATGTTTATTTTTCAGCATACAATTAGTGCCAAAGTCTATTTGTAAGGTGGCTCCTGTTTTTAAAAGTATTTATTTCACAGAAATGTTATCCTTTAGCCATTGAAATATCCCTTTTGGAGATAAGGAAGCTCCAGGGGCCAATCCTGGGCAACCAGGTCAGGTGTACCACGTGACGACTGTTCTCCAGCCCCACCCCCCAACTCCGCCCCACGATCTATTCCTCACACCTCTCTGCAGAGCCTGACATGCTGTCCAAAAACAGAGACCACCGCACTTGATTCAAATTACAGATTCAGTACTGTACTGTACACAGCCACATTACACATACTTAAAATAATATAGGTATGCGTAATGATACACAGGAGCTCACCCCTAAAGTAAATGATAGATGAGCGGGCAATGACAAATTCCAACACTACCAAATGACCCCATTTAGCCTGAAGTTGAGCATTCTTGCCTACACCTTAGTGACAGGATGTGACAAAAAGTAGCCCAACTAAGGATAACCACATGTCACGTGTACTCAAGAACCCTTCAAGCCAAACTACATTTGAAGGGAGCCAATTTCGAAGTCCCAGAGCCAGTTTCTGGCTGGCTGGTTTCTAGATGAGTGGCATCATCCTGGGAACCCTGTCCTTCCCAGATCCTGGCTTGATGCAGGCCAGGTGACTCTGGTTCCCACGGTGGCTCACCCCATTGTGGGGAGAGTCTGTCGACCTTCGGGGTCCCTCCAGGTCTGGGGGCGTGAAATTTCTCCGTTTTGCCTGTCAAGTCCAGAGGCAGCATGGCATGATGTTGGCAGCAGCTCACAGGAGCGGCAGCTTAGGGGCAACAGGTATCCTAGCTCTACAATGAGGAGGGTGGTCGGCAGTTAAAGATGGTTTTGTTTGGTTCCCATTGTAATCTCATCTATGAAAACAACAGGTGGTAATTAACAGCACCATGAAAACAGGATAATAAGATGAAGTCGTATTTGATTCTGGGTCATGTTTCCTGCCACAAATGTCAACAAAATAACCTATCTTAACTGAGTTGGGGAAAATACGATGTGTTCTGGGACCAATACACTTTGAGAGGAAGAATATAGGCAAAGTCTGTCCATTGGACTCCAGCAGTATGTTTCCTGTCGTGTTTTGTTGAGCAGGAGAGAGAAAACATGCAGAGGCCCCGCCCTTAGGCAGCGTAGCTATCAAGTAGTCAAGTTCTAGGTGGCACCAACAGTTTGTGCTCAACTGATAACCTAAAGGTTGGTGGTTCAAACCCACCCACCGGTGCCACGGAACAAAACCCTTCATAAAGAGTATGGCCACGAAAGCGCTTTGGGGCACAGTTCTACCCCGTGGCATCTGCGGTTGCCATGTGTCAGAATCCACTCTCTATGACCGTGGGTTTCATTAGTTCTTGATTGTTTTGATTAATCAAGGAGTCCTGGGTAAGTAGTTTCACAAGTGAATCTGAGGGCAAGGAGAGGCGCTTAAATCGTTGGGGGATTGGTCAAGAGGGGTGCTGAAGCATCCACAGTTGGACAAGAGAGCTGTCCACTATGGCATTCGGACAGTCTGGGATAGAAGGAAATGGGAGTAAATCGCCACCATTTTGAAGCACCTGCCGCTATGGTCTGATGAACAGAAGGAAAGGAGCATCTCTACGGAAAGAAGAGGTAGTGTGGTGGTGACAAGTGGACAGATGCTGGCCCAGGGCTGCCCATTTGCTTTGCAGATTTGGTATCCTTTGTGTCTTTAAAAAGTTAAAACAAAAAAAGCTGGGTTTTTTTAGTGGTTGGTGCATTGCTAGGAGCAGATGTGAAGGCAGGGACTTCTCCCCAGCAAGGTCTGTTTGCTGAGCACACAGGAGCTGGGCTTGCTATCAGGGTGTTTGTTTGAGATAACTCGGTACTACACAGGCAGTCTATTGAAACACATCCCTGTTGACGAATAGAGTCGCTGGTCCAGATTGAACAACACATCAGCGGGAGATGGATGTAGTCAAATCAAATCAGACATCACTTCAGGCTCTGGGGTCCAGGAAAGGAAAGAATCTTGAATTTCCAGATGCAAGGAGCTGGCCAATGAGCTTCACGCCTGGGGGCCAGAGAGTTCCAGGTTTCAGAGCCCATCTGTAATCGAATTTTTAAAATAACTCTTAAAAAACTCTGCAAGTGTCTATCCCTTCCCGAAGGTTTCCCCCTTTCTCAACCTTTCATAAACACATGCGCACACACATACACACACCATCCAAACTCTAAAGTATCCTTCAAAACCCAACATTAGCTCCGCAGTTTCCATGAAGTTTTACCCAGCCCACGACTGAGTCCTGTAACAGATATTATTTGATGATGTTATCAGTTAAATTTACATCACAAGTCATACCCAACTAGATTGGATACTAATATCATATGTGCTGTCCCTTTAAGGGGGAAAGAACAGAGAGAGAGAGAGAGAGAGAGAGAGAGAAAGGAAGAATGTCTTAAGCAGCTGCTTCCTCAAGTCAGCCAACCCTGGAGATGGGAGAAGCCAGTGAGACACAGAACATCTTTCCCTAATGCCTGCAGAGAGATCATGGCCCTAATAACACCCTGATCTAGGACTCCCAAACCCAAGAACTCTGAGACAACACTATTCTATTCTTTTTAAGATACACACACTGGTGGCATTTTGATATGGCATCCTCAGGAAGTAAATACACCAAAATAATTAAATACAGTTACCAATTTCCTCTTCATCCCCTTGGTACCACCAGCCTAGGTGTCTCTTCCAAATTTCAGCCAAAAATCTCCACCCATGGCTACACTCCCTTTTCCCCTTCCCGGCCATAGACTGCTGTTGGATAGCAGGTTCACTGCCTGACTCAGTGTCCCCTCAATACATAAAACCTAGAAGCCTCATAAGTTTTGGAATATCAGCTGAGAAATCATCTTTGTGGCTTGCAAACCTGTTTCTTTACACTACCCAAAATATATAGATTCCATTAGGTAAAAATTTAGATTTTTACAGGAAAAAAATTAAAATAGGCCCCAAAATATTTTTCCCGTCTTTAAAAAAATAAAAGTTTAAACCCCAGACATAATGTGAAAACATCTCCCACCCCAAGTAGTAAACACCCTTCCCCATCCCCACCCCCTGCCCCACCCCCACCCCCACCCCATGCCCCACCCCCTGCCCCATGGAGCTGTACCTCTGCATCTGGGGATTTTAGCAGTGGTCACTGCGGCCATGGCCATGTACTCACTGTTGGGGTCCTGCAGAACGGACTGGTACTTCTGAAAGGAGAGAGAGAGAGAGAGAGAGAGAGAGAGAGAGAGAGAGGCTCATCATCTGGATTTCCCCACCTCCAGCTTCGCTTTACGTCCAGTTAGCACTCGTTCTTGGAAGTAGTATGTGACAAAAGCATTAAAATGTGACAAAGGCTCCTGACTTTAGGCTAAATGAGAGTACATGCTGGAAGAATGAGTTAAATTAATTTTTTCTCCCAAATGTCCTCTTCATTTTTACCTTTATCTTTGTTTTTCTAATGGACTTAGGTCATGGGCGCTGTCTTATTCCTTCCTGCCCCCACCTCATCTCTCTTTTTAAATTTGTGTTTGCCACAGATAGACATACTTTCTGGCCAATGACCACATACTAAATATACTTGACAACATATTTGCCTCATGTGCATGTTGGCCTAAATGATTTGATAGAGAACTAGTAATGTGAAAGATTAAAATTCATAGCTTCTATTTATACTTGGGTCTTTACTTTGGCTGCAAATATATCCATGAATGGGTCAGAGCACAGGGGAGAACAGTTATGAAAATATCTACATAAGTCATACCCCAACACTTGGAAGGAATGAGTTGCTGGGCTGGTGGTTCAGGATCATCGTTTTGGGGAACAGCAAGATCAATTAGCATAGCATCGTGCACAAAGAAGATGTTCTATTTTGATGCCTAGCAGCTAAGCTCTTAAAAGCTGGTGAACAGCCATCTGAGACACAGCTTTAGTCCCTCCTCGTCCAGAAGAAAGTAAAGTAAAAGAAATCAAAGACACATGGAAACAATTAGACCACACACACAGCAACTGGCAAAACCAGCAGAACCCAATGAAGCCCACCTCCCACTACCAACCACTCTGGAAAGGGTCACATTGGAAGAAAGAGTGAGAGAAAAATGCGAAATAAAACTCAAAATCATTTTTAAAAAAGAGCAGGCTAACTTGCTGTGTAGAGATGAGTGGAACCCCAAGACTGTGATCTGTAGTGGGCCTTCAGGTGTGGATCTGAATCACTCCCATGACTTCGCTTTCATCCAAACAATAGGCAGGGGTCCAAGGGGAACAAAGTGCCTGCTGGCATAGTGGTCTATGGACTAAGTTGCTAACCACAGGTCATCAATTTGATACCATGGAGGAAAGATGAGGCTTTCTCCTCCAGTCAATAGTACTATCTAGAAACCCACAGGGGGCAGTCCTACCCTGGCCTAGAGGGCCGCTCTGAGTCGGGGTCACTAAGAGTCTGAATCAACTCGGCATCGCTGAGTTTGATAGGGGAACAAGAATGCTAGTAAGGTAAGCATGCCTTAGAATACTCAACTAATTGAGATCCAAAGGGCAGCATTTATCCAAAGACAACGTTCAAAGGGGTTAGGAACGAACTAGGGATGGAAACAGTAAACACAGAAGACGTGAGATTAATGCTATTACATGGGCAGGATTGCAATGAGTTAGATGAAACAAAATAGGTATGAACTGTTTAATGTAAAACAGATGATCTGCTCTGAAAGCCTTCACCCCTCTTATAATTTAAAGTTGTGTTGTTGTTTTTTAAAAAAAGAATATCCTCCAGGAGAGAAAGATTATTATTATTGTGTTTCTTTGTGTGTGTGTGTTTCTATTTTATCTTTATGACTAGCTTGTGTGTGTGTGTGTGTGTGTGTGTGTGTGTGTGTGTGTGAAAATAAGAAGTGTAATCACTCATCATGTGAAAAAAATGGGAAATTTCCTTCTCAGCTTCTACTGGCAGCTTGAAAGACGTTATCACTGATTATATTTTATCTTATCAGTTGAGTGTACCTTGCACTGTAGCTAATTGTTTCATCTTTGCCCTGACAGTTAAGATGGCTAGAATCAAATTCGCAGTCCCCTTTTTTTAAATAATAACTATCTCTTTTCTTAATATTTTGACCTTCCTGCAGGCTATCTGTCTCTCCTTGAGTCCAATTTCCTTGTCTTTTCAAAACAATAATGTATCTTACTCTTAACCATAGAGGTTTATTGGGGGAGGGGAGGGGAATAATTTATAAAATAAATAAATAAGCATCTACTCTAAATTATCAGTTTGATTAGTAGGTATATCTTGGGGAAAAGGAAGTGTCTATCTGATGATCAGAATATTTTTGATGAAATCAATGTGTACTTCTGATGAGTAAATAATCATTGAGATTCCTCAGAAAGAAGATGCAAGGGAAAAAAAAACAGAAATTGCTCACCTTTTTGGTAAGCCAACCAATAAACACACATCCCAAAATGCAGAGTACAATAAAAGCTGCACATATGACAGGCAACCAGAACTTCAAGGTGCAACAAAGTTGTGATTCTGGGTTGGGAAAAAAGGTAAGAAAAAAACTTTTGAGAATCTCACCTTCTTTTCCTGTGCTAAATCACAAATGCTTTTTGCCAAATTTGAACATTACTTAACCACCCAAATCTTTTCTGCATTACAGTAATGACACTCAATAAATGCTAACTAACATGATCTCAGCATGATAGCAAAACAAAGCAAAACCCACTGCAATGGAAGTCAATTTTCACTCATAGTGACCCAATAGGGTTTCGCAGGCTCTAAGTCTTTTCAGTAGCCATCAGGCTCACCATAAAGCAGCTCGTGGGTTTGAACCACAATCCCTGTAGTTAGCAGTCCAATGCTTACCCAACAGCACTACCAGAGCCCCTTAATATTCATAGCAAACATCTAAAGACTCAAACCTAAAGGTGGAGTTTTCACTCTACATGCTTTCTGTGCACACGTATGTTTAGAAATGGGGTTCATAGAAACTTCCCGTCTCTATTTCTTTAAAAGAGTAACTAGAAAAAGTCATAATATAAACCTATTATTTTCGATCATCTAATTGAAGTACAAACCCCGGCACAAACCCAAAATTATAACTCTTAGATTAATAGAGGAAATAGCCATTAAGTCATGTACTTGGGGTATTTTTCTTAAGTTTTTTAAAAGCAGCACGACTTAGCTCTAACTCGGCAGTCTATATGATTAAACTGTACATCACTTACTAGCAATAATTATTAATAATAAATTGCCCTTTGCGCCGTTTCGTCATAAATAATTGCCTATCATGGCACTCAGAGGAACCCCAGCACCAAAGATACTTATTTGTTTCATTGTTTTCATTAGTCATAAAAGCTGTCCAGATGTGTATGGCCTCCGAAGCCAGGGAGATAAAAGGAATGCCTTACCATAAATATGCAAATATTCTCCACTAAGGGTCTCTATAGTGAATGGAGGAGGATCAAAAACGATCAGCTGGCAGAAGTAATAGCTGGCGTAAGAACTGTTCAGGTTGTACAGGAAAAAAGAGACACTGTCATTGGACGACTGAGACTGACAGAAACCCAGGTTCTTCGTGGTGGACACCGTGTGTCCGGCCTCCTTGGTCTGGGTGAGCTCACATAGCAGCTGCTTCCCTCTCAGCAGCTGCATTTTAAATTGCTGGAGGGTGGCGGGGTGTTTGCACCTAATTTGCACACCTCCTTTGTGAAAGGTGAACATCTCAGGCTTGGCAGAATCATTGATTTCTCCTGGACGAAGAGAAAGAAAACAAAGCAAGAGAGACATGTTAGGAACATGTGGTTGCAATCGTATTTCCTCTGAAGGTAACTCTCTGCATGACTCCACCTGGCTTGTGCCCCAACGAGAGAAGTTCACTTTCCCAAAGAAAGGACACAGCTGCAGGTGAGACGGGCTGAGAAAAGCCTAACCAGAAGCTGGCTTATCACGTAAGCGTCGATTATTTAGCAAGCCTCAACTCATGGCCACCCACTCACAGCGACCCTGGAGACTCGGTACAACGGCCTCTTTGGGTTCCTGAGACAAAAAACCTTTACCTGTAGAGGGCTGGTGGGCTCCAACTGCTGATTTGGGGGTGAGCAATCAAATAAATTATTTGATCTTTGATTTCCATCGTATTCATGGAACAGTGGGTGTGACGAGGGGCTCAATCAGCACTCTGAGGAGGGTGCATGGCCAGGCAGTGTTCTGTTCTGTTGTACGGAGGATCCCTGTGACTCGGAACCGACTCAGTGGTCCCCACTGCCCTTCCTCTGTGAGGTGCAGAGGGAGGACGAGTTCTGTAGTACTCAGCTGTAGTACGGCGAGGAGTGGAAAATAAGAACACTACTTAAGGTGGTGGTGAGGGGTGGGGTGCTGGAATGAGTTCTAATTTTGATCGGAGGATCAGAAAGATGCCGCTTTGAGGAAATGTCTTTTAAATTGAAATGGGAGGATACGTAGCACTTACCGTAACCAAACAAGGGTAGATTTAGGAAAAGAATGTAATTTAGAAAAGAAAGAAGAAGGAAAAAAAATATATATATATATATATACATTTAAAGGTTTTATATCTAAATCAAAATCAAGCTCACCATTGAATTGATTGTGACTCATCGTGATCCTATAGGGCCGAGTAGAACTGCCCATGTGGGTTTCTCAGGCTGCAAAGCCTTTTCTTCCTCCTGTGGAGCAGCTGGTGTGTTTGAACTGCAGACTTTATGGTTAGTGGGCCAACCATAACCCACTGCACCAGCAGAGCTCCTGAAGATCGTATCTAGCTTAAACTAAAAGTGAATGACTCTATATGAGTATTGGGCTCCAATGTAACAATTGTGAGGTGCAGGACCCGGCAGTGTTTCCTTCTATCGAACTAGGGAGAAAGACGGGGCTCTCTACTCCCATAAAGAGTTACACTCTCGGAAACCCACCGGGCCGTTGTGCCCTGTGCTGCAGAGTGAGTATGACGTGTCATTGGCTCGGTGGCAGCGAGTGAGAACATAAACACCAAGCAAGAGAAGACCAGTGGCTACACGGTGTGCTCTGTATCAGATCAAAACGAAGGGTGTCCTGTGCGGGGATTGATTTGTCTGAGACAACAACTACTGCTGCTTTGCCGTTTACACGTCTCTGCTGCTTTTGCGGCAGAAGGTAAAATCAAGGAGCTGATCCTCAGTTCCTCTAGAACTATTCAAAGCAAACGTCCCCGAGACCAGAGTCAGCAAGCGAACCACAAAGAGATCTTCGAGCAAAAGTGTCTGCAGCCACAGGATGCACACTCACAGAGAGACACCCCGTCTTTATTTCTGAGGACAAGTTTTGCCCACACAGTGATTTATCATCGAGTGCAAAGCAGACGGAAATGGTCGACAGTGAGGTGACCCGGAAGTCCAATGCAGAAACCCAGAGGCGGATTGAGTCTTGCCACTCCTCAGGTTCTGAGACTAGACTACCCTTCTGGATCTAAGCCGCGTTTGTCTTTTAAATAAACGAGGGAGAACAAAAAGTCTTAAAGTGCTTTCCACTCTCTGTGGATTCAGGATCAGAACACATTCAAATAAGACTACGAATATCCTCCAAAGTGAAGCCTGTTCTTCATGGGCTATTCCAGGGCGACAGAAGAGATGAAAGCCCATTAACATATTTTGAGAGGGGAAGGCCGTGCTTCTGTGCAGTGTCAAAAATGATGTGGCATTCGGGGATTCCAAATCGTCATTTTCACTGTATTCATTTCATTGATTTTACCCTAACTGTGTGGTTCTTGGTGTCAAGCCTATCCCAACTCATAGGACAGAGTAGCACTGCCCCTTAGGGATTCCAGTCTTTACTCCCAAAGAGAGTTTGTTGAGTTTGAACCACAGACCTCTCTGTTAGAAGTCAAGCACTTTAATCGTTTCACTGCCAGGGTGCCTTAAGAGCGGCATAGATTACCTTGTTTCCAATTAAATGTGGTAATGAGAAGCATGACTCATGTTTCCACGTATCTAATGCTTATGCTTCCCATCTGGACAACTCTCAGCCTGTAATTTCAACATTTTCAGATAAAAGAGCATGTTATGGCATGTGATCAATGCTTCATAATTACACTGGCACCTATTCCACAGATATGTTCACTCAAATATCCAGTCACAATCCTCCTTAGCCTTTAGCAGTGTTTGAAAAATAATATCAGAAGGATATCATCCCTTAGAGATAAGCTTAATGAACTTAGATAAGCAGATAAAGGAAGTTTTGAATATATTTATTTGTTACAACTGCAGGAGTAGCTGATATGACATCTTTTTCTACTCTCCCTGGATGCTCCTATCATCAAATCCAATGTTCATCCAGGAGAATCGGTTTTATAATATCATTTTTTATAGCAAATGTCTGCTCTGAGAACTTGGGTGTTAAATCTGTTTGATCAGTTCATTGCCATAACCACAAAACCAAACAGCCTCACTGCCATGAGTCGAGTCCAACCATAACAGCTCGATAGGGCAGAGTAGAACTTTCCCTTTGGGCTTGTGAGACTTTAACTCTTCATGGGAGCCGAAAGCCTAACTTCCGAGCCTCCCAGACACCCACCAGAACCCACCTATTTCTGTTGGTAGCTACTATAACTTCCCTACCCATCATTTTCTCTCCCTGGGACAGGGATACCCTCTCTGTTTTCACTCATTTTCAGATCAGCAAAATGATCTACTAACAAATGCAATCAAGTAGTGTTATCATCATGTTTCTAAAAACTTCCAGGGCCTTCCCATCTCTCTTAAAATAAAGTCTGACTCCCTACCCTGTCTTGCCAAGATGGACCTAATTCATGCTCATTACCAACACTGTCTTATGATAGTCATCCAGTACACTGCAATCACACATTCCTTCTTTCTACCTGAAACAAGAGAAGCTTATTCCCAGTGCATTGAACTTGCTGTTTATGTTCTTGGAAATTTCTTCTCTCTGATATTCATACAGTTGCTTCTATCTAATCACTCAAGAGTAATTACACTTCTCAGTGACCACTAATCACCCCGCCCAAAGTTTAACACCCCACCAGCAAGTCATTTTCTTTCTTTCTTTTTAAACATTTTATTGGGGGGCTAATACAACTCTTATCACAATCCATACATACATCAATTGAATAAAGCACAATTGTACATTCATTACCCTCATCATTCTCAAAACATTTGCTCTCCACGTAAGCCCCTGGCATCAGCTCCTCGTTTTTTCCCCTGGTATTACCTTGAGATAAAGTATTATCATTGTCTAAAATGAGTTGATTAATTTGCTTATTTTTTTATTGCCGCTACAATGTAGCCTTTAAAAATCAGGAGTTTATGGTCTTATTCACTGATATATCCATTGTGCCTACAAGAGCACCTGGTTTAAACCAACTCTCAATAAATGTTTGTCAGATAGATGGATGTGCAGATGACTATGAAAGTCTCTGTAAAGTTTTAAGTCAGGAAAGATGAAATACAGAACATAAAATATAAGAAACAAAAGGGGCTTTTAGAATTAATCAATCTAAATCTTTCATTCCATATTTTATATTTATATTTTTCAAGTTAAAACAGAGCCAGAAAAAAGAGTTACCCAACTCATAAGATTAAGATGATCTTAGGTTAGTTTGACCATGATGGTTTTTTTCTGGGAAAAACTCATGCAGATATTCAATCATTCAGAAAACACAACTTCCAGAGTGGGAGGCCAGATTCCTGAAAGAAGTATCTTTGTGATTTTGAAAGAAAAGGTTCTTTGCCTAAAATGTACGCCAACTTCATCAGGACTGACTTAGAGGGTTGTTTATTCTCTTGACTCCTGTATGTCTGTAGCAGGGGGACAGGTTTAAGCCTTGTAGGCTATTCAACTCAAAAAGCTCACTGCCATCGAGTCAATGTTGACTCATAGAGACCCCCCATGGGTTTCCAAAACTACACTTGTTTACAAGAATAGAAAGCTCAGTTTTTCTCCCTCGTGGTTGTTGGTAGTTTTGAACTGCCAACCACTCGGATTGCAGCCCAACATCCACACCACCAGGAGTCCTTCGGTTGGCTATTTAGGTTCTCCAAAAGATCATTGTATTAAATTTGGTCAATATTTGGCCAGTAGAGGATCATTGGACCGGATGTTTCATGACCATAGCATGGTAGTATTATATTATATAGATGACAGCTTTATCTTGTATTGGGGGCTCTTAAAGCTCTTATAATAATCCATACATCAATTGTATCAAGCACATTTGTACATATGTTGCCATCATCATTTTCAAAACATTTTCTTTCTACTTGAGCCCTTGGTATCAGCTCCTCTTCCCCGCCCCAAATTATTGTTATTTCCATATCCTAAACCATCCACTGTCTCCTTTCACCCACATTTCTACTGTTTGTCCCCCCCAGGGGGTGGGGGAAGGGGAAGGTTATACATCAATCATTGCGATTAGTTTCCCCTTTCTCCCCTTTCCCCCCTACCTTCTCCCTACCCTCATGGTATCACTACTCCCATTGCTGCTCCTAAGGGGTTTATCTGTCCTGGATTCCATGTGTCGAGAGCACTTATCTGTACCAGTGTACATGCTCTGGTCTAGCCGGATTTGTAAGGTACAACTGGGGTCATGGACACCCAGCACCAGCACCAGAGAACGGGCCCTAAATCTCGGTCATCATACTGACAGCCATCTCTGATAGGGTGCGTTCTTCTCAGATGCTCAAAACTATGAACTGCTTGTTCTAATGCTCTGTTGGTATCAATAAAGATCATGTTTCAAAAGATA